CGTGATCCTTCATCCTCTGCTCATTCCCACCCAGCCTTTGTCTCTTTCTTCCTCTCCACACCCACACACCTCAAGAGCCTTTGTCGTATACTTGTGTATATCCGCTCTTGCCTTAACACCTGCGACTAAAACAAAAAAGACAAAGGCCTCCCAGAACTGCTTGTCTCGAGCAAAATCCAACTGCGTGAACCGATCCGATCCGTGGAAGAAGAACAACACCTCCCTTACTAATCATGTGGCCCATGTCTGTGAATCTTGCTGTCTAATCAACTTCTCTTCCAGTATAATGACCAAAGAAAATTGAATTTGCGAGGCAGAGCAGCAGGAAAAGAGTATGAAAGAACAGCCGCCGCCAGATCAACACAGCGGGGGGTATAGCGGTCTAGTCCGCGCCGAGCTGTTGTCTAATCACATACTTTGTCATTTCTATGGGTGCGCACACCCTTTGACGTTTCGGGAGATAGGAGTCGAGGGTTAGCGAGCTGCGAGACGTTCTTAGGACTTCTGGGAGAAGAACCAGCTGCTGCGCTTGCTAGAGCCGCCCTCATTCTGCTGGATGCTGGAGATGACGGGGATGGAAGGTCCCTGGTTGTCACCGCCACCACCCCGGAGGGGCTTGGCAATGCGGCTGCCTGCGCCCGAGAAGCTAAATCCTCCGATAGAGGGCGAGTTCAGGCCACGAGTGCTGCCAGCCTTGGCAGCCTCCAACCTTTCCTTGACGGCAGCGAGCTGTACTTCAAATCTACAAGACACCAGTCGTTAGAAATGAGACACGAATTAAGCATGGAAAAGAAAACGTGTGGGATTCTCCCTAATTTGTTCACGGGAGGTTTGACTGGGGTTGGGGTACTAAAAGAAGGGACAGGAGTCGCTGGGGTTTCATACTTGTGGTTGGCCGAAGCCATCTTCTCCTGGCTATCCTGTAGCAGGCTCTCGAGACTCTGGATGCGCTCGTTGCGGGCAATGAGCTTACGCTCAGCGATGGCGACCTCCTTCTTGAGTGCCGAGTTCTGTTCGACCAGCTGGCGCTGGACCTGGGTGAGCTGCTCCAGGTTCCTCTCGAGGAAGGCCATCTTCTTCTGCTGGGCCCGGTTGTTGGATGACCGGAGCACATTGTTATATTGCTCTCTCGTCTCATCAAGCGAGATCTCAAGCTCGACAACGCGCTCGCAGCGGTTCTGAAGATCGCGCATGAGGCTCTTCTTCATGATGTCGAATTCGGCAATCTGCTGCTGAATGGACTTGCCGTTGGTCGTGGGCGCAGCAGTGCCGGCCTTGACTCTCTGCTGGAGATCCTCAATGAGAGCCTTCATCTTGGAATTCTCAGCGGCCTTCTGGGCAATCTCGGCCTTGAGCTCGTCGACCAGCTGCATGGAGGTGGTCTGTTTGTCGGCATAGGCGCTCTCCAAGCGGGCCTTGATCTCCTCAACATCGGTATCTCCCAGGTTACGGGTGAGAAGCTCCTCGTACTCCTGTTGGAGGGTCTGGAGGCGATCCTCAAGCTCGGCACGACGACGGGCGTCCGCTTCGCTCGAGGAAGCGCTGTATACGGAAAGCTCGGCTTGACGGACGATTCCTTGAATCTCGACGAATCGAGACTTGAGCGCCTTAAGCTCGTCAGGGTTGACGATCTCGCCAGTCGCGCTGACCTCATGCAGGGCGTCCAGCTGGGCGATGGCCTCCGTAATGGCCTTCTCGTTGTCGCTGAACACATCAGCGCCGAGGTCGAAGCCGGCCATCATCTTGGCCATCTTCTCAGCCTTCTTCTTCTCCTTCTCATCGAGGACCGCGCTGGTCTCCTTGGCACTCATCTTCACGTCGAGGAGCTGCTGCTTGACCTCATCGAGCTCCGTAGTCAGCTCGGCGTTCTGCTCCTTCAGAGCGTCCATGGTAATCTGTGCCTCCTTGCCCTCGAAGTGCAGACGCTCGAGCTGCATCTTGACCTCGTTGACTTCGGCGTGGAGCTTCTCGTTCTCCTTACCAGTCTTGGCATCGTGCTCCTTGAGGTAGGTAAGCTCCTCCTTGGTCTCGCGGAGAGCCTTATCGGTCGTCGTAAACTGGGACTCCTTCTCCGCAAGCTGGTCCTGGAGCTCGTTCTCGCGGCGCAGGAACTCGTCTCGCTCGTCCTTGTCGAGGGGAGGCCCTGGTGTTCCGGAGCGCTCAGAGACGGCTGGCGTCTCGGCTCTGCTGTCAGGAAGCAGGCGGGACGGTGTTGATGGACGGGCTGCCTTAGCTTCCGCCTTGGCCCCGGCAACGCCATCTGCGGAAATAGGAGGCACCCACTTATCTTTCGGCACAGTCTCTCCAGCACGCCACAGCTGAACCTCGCCCTCCAGATTTGTAATGTAGCCCTCGAAGGTAGAAATCTGGCCGCGGGCCTTTCCGAGCAGCGCCTTGAGCTCGGCGGGACTGAGCTCTGCGTTGACCTTGGCCTTGTTCTTGATCGCCTTCGCACGAGTACCGAATCGAAGTGTGCTGAGAGTTTCGGCGTCGTTGTAACTACTGGGAGAGCAGTTGATAATGAGGGTTGTTCGACTGTTACCTCCGAGGGACTCTTGCAGGATACGGGTCAACTTGGAGTCGCGGTAAGGAACGTGAGACGATCGGCCATCGGTCAGGGCGTTGATGACCATTCCCAGAGCACTCAAACTCTTGTTGATCTTCTTGGCTTCCTCCAACGTTTGGCCGCTGGCACCCGTCTTTCCGACCTTTTCGCTACCGGCCAAATCAACCAAGAACAGCTGACCGCTCTTCGCCGAGCCGGTCTCGACGTTCTTCTGGGTAATGGTGATGACGAAGATGGAGTGCGAACGGGAAGACTCCTGGTTCATGTTGGTGGCGGCGACGGCACGGGCGTTTCCACCTCTTCTCATGACCTCGAAGACCTCCTGAACACTGGAAACGTAGACCTCCAAGAGACCCTTGACGTAGACACCGCGGTTCTTCTCTTCGTGGACGGGAAGGTTGTCGTTCTGAGGAGCCAGCAAGTCGCGAATCCTCTCCATGTAAATTTCCATGTAGCTGACTCGGACGGTGTACTCGATGGTGCTGGGGCTAGACATGATGCTGGTGAAGATCTGCTCGACGATGCGGGGGATAACACCGCGGCCGCTCTCGTCCTCGATGCTGGAGCCCATCATGGTGTAGGACTTTCCGGCACCGGTCTGGCCATAGGCGAAGACGGTTCCATTGTAACCGTTGAGGATGTCGTCGACAGTAGAGCGTACGGAGAAGTCGAAAATGTCGGCTTGCTTGCAGTTCATGTCGAAGACTCGGTCGAAGGTAAAAGAGCCCTGCGCCTCCTTGGACTGCGAGACATACCGTTAGTCGGGTGCCCGCATACATGCGCGCCACAGGAAGTCGGGCCCGGAGTGTTGATACTTACGTCGAGGGTACAAGTATCCTCGCCATTGAAGGCGACGATGGGCTGGCCGCCCGACTCCAGTTCAACCTTGTTCTGGGGACGGAATCGGGCCACCACCTTGATGCTGTTTGCGCTAGACATCGTGACGGTATTGCAGACCAAGAGGCGTCGCAGCCAAGGTCATGGATCCCGATCGGCGTGGTGTTGCGGTATAGGGGGGTTAAGGTTGCGGGTTGCGAGGCACGAGGCGGTCGCAGCACGGCAACGGGGGCGTGTGTTGAAAGGCCACACAAGCAAGGCGGGGATGAAATGACGGTGTGCAGAATATGGGATAATCTGCTAGAATGACATATCGCAGGTATTTTTTTTCTGCAAGGCGATAAGCAAAAGAGGAAGGGTATCGGCAGCACAAACCAGCAGCAATTTGCAGCCAGCCAGGCAGTCGGTCGAGGGGCAGAAGGGGAGAAGGGAAGGAGATTGAGATTGTTTGGGAGTTTTTGGGGTTGGGATGCAAATGACGGGACGCGCTAGAATTCGCGTGGAATATTTGATTGCAGCAAGACAGTCAGAGTCACAGTACTGAGAACGGGATGGGTCGCTCGCTGCAGTCCAGTGTGGTCTCACAGAGCGAGGTAAGGAGCCTTGGAGGAAAGAGGAGGGGGTGACCTGGGAGAAGGTACCTACCCGGCAAAAACAACACAAAAGGTACACATTCACAGGCTCAACTCAGCCAGCTCCCTCCTGGTGTCCCCTCTCATTAGCCCCCCACCACACTCACAGCCAGTCGCTGGGCACCGGCGCGGTCAAAGAAAAACACGCTCACACTGCAGTATTTCATCCTCACTGGTGGTTTCATCCCCACCTCACCAACGAGCACAGCCGAGGGGTCCGTCCCAGAGCGATCTGGTCCCCTGTTTCCATGTCCGTCCGCTGAAAGTACAGCGCACACAGCGCCATCCCACTGGCCGTGAACACACCCACGGTCGCCCGCGGGATTGTTTCCCTGAATACCACCTACCTAGGTGCTCATCACACACAACAGACGGCCTGGCGCATTGCGCACTAGGGACCAGAGCCAGGCACGCGACAGGTTCGAGATGAAAGTTGGCACCTTTTGCACGGTTGACTCCTTGTGTGTTTGGGGTGGGTTGCTCCGCTTTCGTAGTGGTTAATCACAGCCATAATAAACAAACGTCGGGCCGCATCATGGACAATAGATTTGGTATTTCGCTACCCAAATGCGTTTCCTGCGAACTTCCCTGTAAAGCCAGCTGAGGACGAACGTCACCCAAGAGAAGCACGACCGCGAAACGCCAACCGCAACATGGGACCGCCCCAAAAGCCATTCAGACAGGACAGCACGAGCCGAAACGCCAAACCCCCCACTCCCACCTCATCGGATGCCCCAGCTGCTTAATGCGAGCAAAACCAAGGAATGTGTCTGGTCAGCTCCGGCCCTCGCCGTGTTAGTGCCACAACACTGTGAGGTCAGAACCTTGACGGCTGTGCTTCTGTTTGTCCTCCAGCGTCCCGGACGCAGCCCTCCTGCTATCCCTCATGGGCGTACCCTGCTCCTGCGAGGCTATGAATGTTGTTCATGACAGTCGTATGTGTTTTGTTGTGGTATCATTGCAATTTAGTCCTCCCAGCTCTTCTCAACCGTCTCCCTCACCCTCTTGGTGTACTCCTTACGGTTGTCCTTGTACAAGTTGGAAGCCTCGACGTTCGCTGGCGATCCGGTGTTTGGGTCATTAAGCAGACTGGCGATGGTTAGCCTACGCATCTCCTGTCCGATGCAAAAGCCGCCTTACCTCTGGATGCTCGTCAACACCGCTGCGACGTCATATGTAGGGCTCCATCTGTTTTGCAAGATATCCAAGCAGAGCTCCCCGGTGGCGTAGACGTTGGGATGGAACATCTGGCTGATGAACTTGACGGCGGGCGGCTTGTTGGGGTATTGCTCCTCGAACTGCATGACGAGTCTGAAGGTCCCGTCCTCGAAGGGCGTATCGGCAGGTCCGATGATAACGGCATTCCTGGAGAGCTTCTGTAAGTCACATGTGGGAAAGCCGGTCGGCCCGTGGATGGTCTGGCGTACCAAGTCATAACGTTATCGGGGACGGGAGAGGCAGAGACACCCGCGGGAGGGTCAGTTTGCATGCGCTGTCATCCATGCTGTTAGTGGTGATGTTTCATCGAAGAAAAATCCAGCGATAGATATTACCTTGAAGTCACGCATCAAACGACGTCGGGCAGCAGTAGACATGGTGGCGGTCGGTGGCGGTCGGTGACTGATTGCCGGGACTGAGGGGTAGGAGACAAGAGCTATCGCGGAAGCTGTGGTTCGGAAATGCACACAAGGCCCAAGAGCTGATGGCCTATTCCGAGATACTCTGGTGAATGTTGGAACGAAGCGATTCCGACGATTCTTGAAAGCGCCGTGGAGGTGGTAAAGGAAGGGCATGGAATATTGAATTCACAAGTCCGAGAGGATGGCGCGGGAAGCAGTCACCACCGCCTGCCGCTTAGGCGCAATCAGTGGGTCTCTGGATTGTGGCCAATCAGTGCCGGGGAGATTAAACGCGAATCAGACGAGACCAAACCAACGCCGAGTGGACCCCGGGTCCAGGCGCAGCACACGACTCGAGCCATTGGGACACTGAAGCAGTGACACTCTGCAGGTCTCGAGACGCCTCATCTGTTTTCTGGCTTCTGATGATGCGCCCTACACAGGCGAGAGGTGACAAAGCATGGCTGACAAACGGCGTCGATAATTACAATACAGATATTCCAGGCTGATCTATTGGCAATGCGCACGTCTGATTACTGAACCCTACGCCTGCATATTTACGGAGCCGCGGTGTCGGGTTCATGACCGGTGATTTACACTCGTACACGATGATCGCGACGATATCGGAATCGACAGGCATATGCCGCCATGTTCCGCCGTTCCGGGGAAGCAAGGAATCTGGAGCACTTGGGATGCAGCCGCGGAACCACTGCAGAAAAAAAGTGACGGCAGCCAGCGAACTGCAAGTGCAACCTCCATATTTTCACGGTCCGGGGTGGGGGACTCGGCTTGCCGACCCTGGGGTTCACACTGAGGGGGGTGAGGTCATGAGAAGCTCGGCCCCGCCCGTGCACTTCCCCCTCCTTAAGCCGAGGAAGCCCGCAGCATACCTGGGGTAAGGCAGGCAGAGGCGGGAGGGAACAGTTCGGGTAAGCTATTGCCGCCCGCGCCTTTCCACATGTTCGCCGTCTTCCATCCCTCTGTAAAATAGCTGCAGCCATCCCATCTATTTCTGTGCCCGTTGGATCGTCTCAAAGCCCGCCGTCCTTGTCAATCCTTCTCTAGCCTGCCTGTCACCGTGTCACCATGTATTCAAGACAATCCTCCAGGCTTCCGAGCCTATTCGCAAAGCAGGCCTCTGCGGCTCGCCTGTTCTCAACGAGAGCGGCATTGAGGCAAGAGATTCGCGATGCATACATTCTCAGTGGTTCGAGAACGCCAACGGCAAAGGTAGAAACCCCTGTAAGTGTACAAGTTGAGACCGTCGGCTGATGTATCGACAAGTTCAATGGATCATACACGAGCGTCTCCGCGCCGAAGCTCGGCGCTGTCGCCATTAAGTCTGCCCTCGAAAAGTCAAAGGTCCCTGTCGACAAAATCTCCGACGTATACATGGGAAACGTGCTGCAAGGATCAGTCGGGCAGGCGCCGGCTCGCCAGGCTTTGATCTTTGCCGGTCTCCCGTCAAGCGTTGAGGCCATTACCATCAACAAGGTGTGCGCTTCAGGCTTGAAGGCGGTTGTCTTTGCCGCGCAGAACATCCAATTGGGTCTGGCAGAGGCCCAGATTGCCGGAGGCATGGAGAACATGACTAGAGTGCCGTACTATGTCCCCCGCTCCTCGAGTTTGCCGCCTTTCGGGCACGTCAAGATGGAGGACGGTTTGATCAAGGATGGTCTTACCGACGTCTACGACCAATTCCACATGGGCAACTGCGCTGAGAACACCGCCAAGAAGTACGAGATCACCCGTGAAATTCAGGACCAGTATGCTATTGAGTCCTACAAGCGCGCCCAGGCCGCGTGGAAGGCGAATGCCTTCGCCGAAGAGATTGCGCCCGTCACCGTTCCCGGAAAGAAGGGCGATACCGTCATCGAGACGGACGAGGGATACCTCGATGTCAAGTTCGACAGGGTCCCCACTCTGAAGCCCGCCTTCGTCCGTGACGGCACAGGAACCGTCACTGCCGCCAACTCGTCCACTCTGAACGACGGTGCCAGCGCGCTGGTTCTGGGAAGCAAAGAGATTGCTCAAAAGTACGGATCAGGCTCCCTGGTTCTGGCCAAGATTTGCGGTTCGGCCGATGCTGCGGTCGACCCCGTTGATTTTCCAATTGCCCCGGCCAAGGCCGTTCCGATTGCGCTGGAGAGAGCCGGAATTACCAAGGACCAGGTGGCTGTCTGGGAATTTAACGAGGCCTTCGCCGCTGTCATCAAGGCCAATGAGAAGGTAAGCATATTAACTCGTAAGCCACTTGATTTCCGCTGACTGTCGATTAGATCCTCGGCCTTGAGGGAGCGCGTGTGAATCCCCTCGGAGGAGCCATTTCTCTCGGCCACGCTCTCGGAAGCTCCGGGTCGAGAATTCTCGTAACACTGCTGCACCAGCTGAAGCCCGGCGAATACGGTGTGGCTGCCATCTGCAACGGAGGAGGTGCAGCCACTGCGATTGTGGTGCAGCGCGTCGAGTCTGTGTAAATCAATGTAGATCGGACGTCGTCTTCTAGCTCTGGCTACTTGCAGCTCGGTTTCAAAAGAGAGGCTGCAGGTTTAGCTCAATTCGTGTGATTCTTAGGTTGCGAGCCGCTCAGACGCGGCGATAAGGACAGATCTAGGCGCAAGATGTTGGGCGGCGTACACTTGTACATGAAAAGCCACATATCAAAAAGCACAAATATTTCCTGTCATGAAGGAATTGGTGTTCTGTGAGACAATTTGAAAGACTGCGTAGAAAGTGATGAGGTGAAGATGCTCTGAATTTAGACGCGGTACCATCCTGGCGGGGCAACGCCAGTCTCTCTCACCGAACGCCACATCCCTGCTCCCGCTCACCGAAGAACCCACCTCACACCTTACCTTGACCACCGACGAGGTCTCATCGTATGCCCCAAGCTCATATTCGCTTCCTCACCGTCCAGCATCTCCCCATTCATCCCATTCCCAGCATCTTAACACGGGAGGCACCACCATGGCGCTTCTAGTACAATTCCTTACTCAGATTCGCACATTTGTGCGCGCCCAAAACAGCGACGAACTCCGCAATTGGCTCCAGGTTGAGCCGAACGCGCATCAACAGTATCACCAACTCGCGGCCGAGCTGCGCAACCAGTTCCGTTCGGGAAGCGGACTGGAAGATACGATTGAAAAATGTCTACCGGAAGAGGACGACGTGCCGGAAGGCCAGGGCTCGCCGTGGCCGGGCTTCATCACGTTCATGAAGGACTATATGCTCTTCTGGCGCGATGTTGACTACGACGATCTGCTCGGCGCACATACCCTGCTGAGCGGGCTGGTCAAGTGAGTGTGTGTCCAGCATGTATTGCGGGTAGTCATTGACACGTTCACCCAGCTCCTGCAGCACCGCCTTCGCCCACCCAACCTATGGCGGAATGCTCCTCAAAACGGCAATGTCACTGTGCGAGTCCCTATCGCGCCTCACCATGATGCTCAGCAAGCGTCCCGACCTGACCCGTCAAATCCGCAACGTCGACGCAGACGACCGCAAGTCCATCGCCGAGACGTCGGCTGAGATCATCCAAAAAATCTTCACCACCTGCCTGACAGACCGTTCCAGTACCCGTTACAGCAAGCCCGAGGGGAAGAAGGTTGGCGTTTACATGTTCGCCAACCTCGTGCTCAAACTCCTCTTTGCCGTAAGCCAGCTTCGACATATCGCCGGTGACCAGATTCTAACGATATACAGTGCCGGAGAACTCACCTCGCAAAGCAAATCTTCACAAACATCTCCACAAACTCCCCGCCTCTGTCCCTCTACCCGGCAGCCCAGCGCGTCACCTTCCTCTACTACCTCGGCCGCTTCAACCTTGCAAACTGCCACTTTGTCCGCGCAGCTCTCTGCCTCGAAGAGGCCTACCTCCAAATCCCGCCCGCGTTGACATCACACCGCTGCCTGGTGCTCAGCTACCTCATCCCCTGCAACCTTCTCCTCGGTCGCCTGCCCTCCAAGGTCCTCCTCTCACGCCCAGAGTCCGCCAGCCTCGTCCCGATCTTCCATCCCCTATCCCAGGCGATCCGCAGAGGCGACTTCGTCCTCTTCCAAAACGCGCTCGCCATCCACGAGAAGTGGCTGTTCGACAAGGGCTTGCTGCTGGTGCTCACACACCGCCTCCGGCCCCTCCTGTGGCGCTCCCTCGCGCGCAAGACCTTCCTCCTCACATACGCCCCAGGGCCCGACGACACGAACCCTAACGCGGCGGCAGCACCCTCCCGCCGGGCGGCAACACTGGACCTCGCGGACCTGCACACCACGGCTACGTACCTCCAGCGCAGGCTAGAAGGCTACATCCCCTCCAAGCACCAGCGCCCCTCCAATGCCACGCCGGCGTTTATGAAGGCCGTCTCCCACGACGCGTCGTCGACTCTCGTCCCGCCGCCCGGGGGACCGAAGAAGCTGCGGCCGAACGAGGGGCTGGTGTGGGGGAACAGCCCCGTTGAGATGGACGACGTCGAGATGAATGTTGCGACTCTGATCCAGTTGGGCTTCATGCATGGGTACATTGCGCATTCTCAGGGACGGTTTGCAGTCATGGGTGCCACGAAGAAGAGTCCGACGCTGGCGGGGTGGCCGGCACCGTGGACCGCGATCAAGGAGAGACAGTACGAGGAGGAAGTTGACCTGGACGACGTTCCGGGATGGGTAAAGGGTTAAACACAGAAACAGTGTCAAAGGCATAGGATAGCTGCAGAATAATGATACCCAGTTGATATTACCACTTTTACGGGCCAAAGATAGCATGGCATGCCTGGGAGACAGCGAGCAGTCACAGCACCATTTTAAGCAAGACCGGAAATGGTTGATTTTGAATCTTTCATTTGATTGCCCATCATAAGGCAGGGCCTTGCTACCGGGATCCTCCATCCGACGAAATTGTCGAAAAAACGGACCAAGGCGGTGTAGATTCGCCACACACACACACACACACGTCGTCGTGTCTCATCCTCAACATCATCTCACCT